AAATCTAGATTCAACCATTGCAACTCATTTAGCTTAGGGGATGTGTGATCATATTTACGCAATTTGAATATAAATCTTCAAGTACCGAACTACGGATAGAACTTTACAGAAATATACAGGATGCGCCAGAACTCGCGCCCCAGAAAATAATGCCATGTAAGATACGATTCCAGGAACATGAAAAAAATGTTAAAAAAATTCTATCTACAAAAACTTCGAAGTCATGAAAGTTTAAATTTTGCACTTTGCTTTATTTATTTCTGTTGGAAAAATAATTTTCTTAGTTTTATTTTGCTACAGGCTATTAGAAAAGGAAACAAGAAAGCTGAATCCTAAATTGTAACTCTTTTTAATGTCTTTTATTGGCAAACTTTTTGTACCTTTACTAAATAATTATAAAAAAAACATATAAAAGATCATCAGTATCATTAAATTCACATAAAAAATGTCAGATGTCAAATTTTTCTGACAAATAAATTTTTTTTTACATTTTTCCCATGCTCCTTGTACCTTGTCTTACTTGAAATGTTTCAAACACACCCTAACGACTTCTAACAACTGGCGTGGAAAATGTATAATTACCCCGAGAACTCAGTTGCAGTTGAATAAAGCCTTACACAATTACATTTTGTTTAAATTATAAAACGTTTGTTTTTCTAACAAACTTGATGTATTGACGTAATTGTTATGCAAACACATTTTACGTCATATTACTGAAATGAATGTGAATATTTTTTTTATCCGTAAATGTCACAAAAGTGACTAATTTTGTTACTAAATATCACAAGTTTAAGCTATGGAGTAAAAATTATATTTTTGCACCTAAGCGTTTTTACTTTAACCATGACATTATTGACATTTACTAATATTGTTACTTCTTGTCTCTTTTGCTGCTTCAGCAATTATTGTAGCTTTTGCATTTTGCACTATTAACTGCACTAGTCATAGTCATGATACTGACGTGTGATGTTTGTTTATAAGCATTATTATGATTTTATTACTTGCAAAGCGTCCTGATTATTTTGTTTATTTACTTGCTAATTATAGTGTTGCTCTTTACTCAATTATTTGTCTCATTACGTTCCTTACATAAACTATCATTTTTACTCTTAATAACATAATACAGGGTGTTTACGGTCTTGGGGTTGAAATTTAAATGAGATAATATTCACGGTAGAAAAAAACTAATACGCTATATAAAACAAAAATTCATGTTATTTGCGTTATAATTCATTTTATACTAGTTGTTTGAGAACTGCTGCTTCGGCTGCAACAATGGCCATTACCTTGTGTCAATTTATTATTTTAATATTTGTCATACATGGACATAAATTTGGAAAAAAGTTAAGAAAAACGAATCAAACCTGTTGGAAACCATTTCGCTGGAAAAGATTAAACAGAAGATCTTCGAATTTTGATAAAAACTAAAGCAAAAGCAGATCAAATGATGACAGTGTCAAAACTATGAAGTGACTTTTCTCTTTTATTGTCATGGATACGATTTCTTTATCTGTTGCAACAATACAATATTATCAATATTATCAAGGAAATAATTCCAGTGACTCTCAAACCGTGTACCAATATTTTAGAGGTTAATAGCATTCTTAAAATAATAACAATTGTGTGAGTTTTTTTCTCGGTTACAGTATTTCTGTACTCTTCTATTACTAGGTCAATTTTCAACTCCAAGACTGTAAACACCCTGTATACTATTTGTTTTAAAAATAAATTGTCATTGTTAGTGCAAGCAATTAGCAACACTATTTACAAAATAAAACGTCAATATTTTTATAAATAGTTCCAGAAACTTGTTATGTTATTGGCTACAATATAAGTCATGATTTTGACATTTTGTAGATTCCTAGAAAATTTCTTTTAAGAAACCTAATTTATTTCCGAGTATATTAGTCTCAAGGGAGATATAACTCCACTTGCCGTAATTTTTTAAAAGCCTGAAACACGTCTAAAAGCAACCCTTAATAACATTGCGTTCAATTTAGTTAATTCTTGTTTGTGTGAATATTATTGTACTCAAATAAAACAATTTCTGTGTTTCAAAACCGTCTAATCAATAGTTTATTTGCTCTAACACGTCCTGGATATTCTTCTCAACTTACCTGCAGATATTATAGCTTAAATCATCCTGTCGGGTCCAGGATGTCTATCGTCCGTTCTTTCTAATCGAACCGATCGAAATTCCTGAGATGACATCTATTAATCTATTTCTGTGCTTAAATTCAACGCTGATATTTCGTGAGTGGAATTATTGTGAGAATCGTGGGTTTCACACAAAGTTTATTACTACGAGACTTGACGAGATCAAAGTTGAGCCTCTAGGCTCAACACCTCTAATTACCCTTTTTTCCTCATATATGAAATATTTTTTGATAACAAACTAATTGTCGATACAGACACTTGAGTTTGTTGGTATTTCAGTCAAGAGCCTTTTTATTAATTTATCAATTACCTACATCAGTGATAACTCACGTTTTAAGTGAGCCATTTCGTGTTAAGTTTGCGTGTCGAAAATAAAAACAAAACTCGCTTAGAAATGTTAAAATTATTCATAATTTTTATGTCGTGAATAAAATCTCGACAGTCAGAAATAATCCGAGCTTTTCGAATGCAAATCAGACTTCTGAAAGCTTCCATTGAGATAATTCCATTTTTTGATGTAGCACTAAACACCTTTTACTTATTGATTCCAAAATCGGGTCGTAAAGACGCTTATACCTCCCTAACAAACAGAATTTTTAAAAAACTACGGAAATATTAATTCAGCTTGAATTGACAACTGTTTAGAGAGTCGTTGAATCGGGAAAATAGCACATCACACCTAATTTAATTTAATTTTAAAGTGTGCGCGACCGAAATAGGAAACTATAGTCAAAATTAAACAGAGTCTGTTGGTGTTTTTTATGTTTATTGTTTGTTTTTCTTTATTTTATATGACAGAAAGATTCTACAAGACATTCGCACTATTGTGAAGCATTTAACGTAAACAGCCTAAATCCAAAATGCTTAATATTCAGAAATAATTGAAAACAAATTTTCAATTAAAAACCAATGTCACAATTTTACGTAACATTTCAAAATGGTTATTATGTTCTGGAATATTCTGTTGTAAGTGGATTTAGTAGATTAACAAAGAAATATTTGATTTTGTTTTATTCATAGTTAATAAAAGGCACTAAAAGAACTTAATACTTTATCGCTCTAAATATAATTTTTTTTAAATATGCAAAAAAGCTAAAATAACTTAAGTCCAAGGTATAAATTATTGTTCAATGCATTTAACTTATAATAAAATTTTTTAACAATTTACAGGATGCGCCAGAACTAGCGCCCCAGAGAAAAATTTTAAGTAAGATAAAATACCAGGAACATGGAAAACATGTTTAAAAAATTCTATCTGTCAAAAAAAATTGACATTTATTTTTTTACATTTGAAATTTTTTTATGTCTATTTAATGATATTGATGATCTTGTTGTATACAGTGTGTCAATTTTAAAACTTGCAATCGGCAATATCTCAAGAACTAAAAACGTTATGGAGAATCACTCAAAACCGTTTCGGTGGTTTTTAGGGGGAATTAAAATGGCATGGTAAGTGACCCTTCTCCACCCACCCTTCAAGCAACAGCGACCTTAAGTTGGAAATTTTAAATGGCACGACCCTACTTGCGATACTTCGTTGGGAAGCCCATAACAAACGCTTTTCAAAAATGTCATACAACAGCCTATTTGGTAAAGCCATTTTTCTAATTATTCAAAAAAGAAGATGTTAAATTTTCATTTTTTTTTAATTATATTCAAGGGTGAGTGGAAGTGTGTCACTTATCATGTCATTTTAATTCCCCCTAGGAACCCCCAAAACGGTTTTGAGTTTTGAGATTATTAATAACTTTTTCAGCTGAGAGAAATTACCGACTGCAAGTTTTAAAATTGACACAGTGTATCTTTTTTCACAATTATTTAGTAAAGGTACAAAAATTTTGCCAATAAAAGCCACAAATAACATTAAACAGAGTTACAATTTAGGATACAGCTTTCTTGTTTCCTTTTCTAATAGCCTGTAGCCAAAAAACCTGGAAAATTATTGTTCCAACAAAAAAATAAATAGAGTCAAAGTGCAAAATTTAAACTGTCATAACTTCGAAGTTTGATTTCATTTAACATTTGTCCCATGTTCCTGGTACTTTGCCTTACATGGCATTTTTCTCTGGGGCGCGAGTTCTGGCGCAGACTGTATATATTAACTGGAAAAGTTAATTGTCTTCCAGAAAATCTTCAGCATTTTAAATAAGGAAGATTTTTGTAGTAGTCCTGATATTTTTCTGTTTATCGTATTTTGGTTTAGAAATGGACTTTTGTTCATTTCTAAGTTGAAGCAGTAATGATAGGAAATTTAAAGGTTTTCCTGGTTTGTTCTTAAACTATAATTGAAATTTAAAATATAATTTTCCTATGTCTGTTAATTAAAATCAAAAAAAAAAATATATTGTCAAACATTTTTTGAGAACTTCATGTAAAAATCCAGTACCAATCGACAAAAAAAGAACTTTTTGCCATGAAAAACTTGTTTTCCAAAAATCCGTAAAAATTTGTTGGCACTGTTTTATTATTAACGATTCGCATTATTTTATTTCGACTTAAATTACTACATGATGATTTAATGTTTTTTGTTTTCCACACTATATTTTTTTTAGCTAGATACAATTTACCTCTATTTGGACTTGCTCTAACATCACCCTGGACTTACAACATTTCAATCATTTTGTTAATTAATGCCGATTACAAGATTTTATGCATTGTGTGAAATAGAAGGTGCATTAAATATGTACTTTTAACTAATATTTATTTTTTGAATAATATTTTTTGTTGGTGCTTTAAGGTACAGAATTATTTAAAATTCTTTTGTCAAAACTATTTTTTTAATTGGGAGCATAATTTTCTAATCTTATCTAATCATTTTATTTAGGGACTTGAAAAAACAGGCACAGTATTGTAAGCATTTATTAATTAAATTAATTTATTTTAAAATAATATAAAAAGTTACATACATTCGGTATAAATGTTATAGCACCTAGAGATAGATATCTGTATAAAAATTTAAATTATCTTAAACGACAGCAAGTTAGGAAAAAGAAGCCCATGAGCCACCACCATAGATTTGAGCATAGATTAGAACCTAGAACTAGATTTAGTAGTACCCAATTGTTCAGTCCTCCACAAGAATATCGCGTGGAAAAGTCAACAAAAGGGTTAAAGCCCTTTACAAACAATCCAAAAACCGGCCAATCGTAACCTTACAAACGTTATCACAGCATTCTAGTTACTAAAATTACGAAAAAATCGACTTAACAAATTTTTACGGGCAGTGTTAATACCGGTTATTAACGTTAATCAGTTATTTGAAACTAGCTTCACTGTCGTTATCCCCAAACCAGTTTTTACTGGTCGCTCCCATAAAACTAGTGGAAGCCTCACTTCGGAACTCTTGCGTAACCACTTGAGCGGTCATTCCCGGCCTTTGGGTGACCTGACTGCTGGCCGTGGCTTGCCATACGGACGAATGCTCCCCACTTCCTCTAGGAACATGCAACGGCTGGATCCTGCTACTCCTCTGGGACTTGGGCGTGGCCTCGGGACTAGTGAACTCACTCGCCGTGTCGTACCTCGAGGGCGCTATCCACCGTTCGGTGAATTCACTGGCGGAGCGTGCCAGAGAAGGCTGGCTTAAAGATCGCGCGAGGGAGGGGTGATGGGAGGAGCTAGTCTTGTACTCAAATTCAGATTCCTCGTAATACCGTGGATAGTAACTGGAACTTTCGGAATGGCTGTCTTCCGGTCGTCCAAAATCGACCGTCACTTCTGACATTGACCTCAAATCGGCTTCGCTGCGGTAGCTGGACCGGGAGACCCGTCGGGTGCGCAATGGGTGCACGATGGGCTCTTGGGTGATGGTACGGACCGAACTACCACCGTCAGAGTCGTACTCGTAGAGCGTTGGTAGGCTGCTGCGCCGACTCCGGGTGTCCCAATCGGATTTTTTGCGGAACCGACCCTGGCTTTTGGGTTTGTCCACCGGAGTCAGAATCCGGATTATTACGTCCCATTTGGGCGGCTCGAAGAGTTTCTCGTAACGGGTGTCTTGACGGATTCGCTCGAAGTCTTCGCGGACCACGGCTTCGGTCAAGAGAGTCCTCAAAGTGGACTCGGTTGTTATAATTTGTCTCCATTTCATTTTATCGGAGAGGGTTAATTGCGAGTTGAACGTTTCGGCACTTTCAATCACCGGACCCTCCTCTTGTTCAGGTTGCAAAACTCGAATTAAGACACTCCAGTTTGGTACTTCTGGATTTTCGAGAGGGATATTGAAAGTTTCAAGGAAAGTCCCTTGCTGGGCTATACTCCCGACTAGTTCCGGGGAGTTGAGCGGAAGTTTGTTGTCGTCGATGGTACTTTGTGGAGGAAGAGACATAGTGGCACGTTCCAGTTTTGGCGTTAGAGTCATTCCCGATGCTGAGGAGATATCAGAGAAGTTCTCCCATTCGGGAGGCTCCGGCATCTCCACTGGATAATTCTTGATTGTAACATCCCATTTTTGCTCAGGTATTGCCTTAGCCCGAGTGTGGTACTCCGTAATCAACCTCTTGTGTCTTTCGATATCTTCAATAGTCTTCTTTTCGGTGATGGTTCTCAAAAATACATCATCAACTACATGAGAGGTAATTTCCGGTTTGTGTACCACCGCAATTGGTGGTTCTAGTGTTTGAGGTGGTGCAAAATCAACCACGTATTCTTGTCTTGGCACAATTGGAGGTGGTGGAGGCGGTGCAGGTTTGTGGTGGCTATCGTCGATTATCTCAGTCATGGAATGCGTATCAGTCATTTCAGTATTCAACGACGCTATCGATCTCTCCTCTTGTAGCTCTTGTTGCCTCCTCAAAATCCGGTTATAAGTCGGTGCAGGTTGTATGTGTTTTGGTGGAGGATGCAACTCCGGAACGTACGTAAAGTGAGTACGTTCGACAGGAGGAGGAGAATCAATCGATCGAACACTTTCCTCCCTTTGTTCCATGATCGTGGATAAATTCCGTGCTGAGCTTTCCGTATCAGAGATACTGAGACTGGGGGGTGATGGGGGCGCTCGTTTGACACGCACTTGGACATCGAATTTCGGTTCTTTGGCCAATGGGAGTCGTGGAGGTTCGGTGTAGAAAGTATCAGCGATGTAAGCTTGGTTCTCAAAACTGCCACCAGATGAAGGAGGAAGAGAACGAGCATCTTCGGCTTCTGAGTGCGATTCGGAGGGGTAATCGGATGGAAGAGTGTCACTGATGAGGGGACCTTCACTCCCGGAACTGCTACCCGGAGCTGCAACAAGCGGGGCACTAACTCGAGGGATTTTCAAACCTTCAAACATTGACAAGTTGCCTAAAAAATATTAATTATTTCGGGTATTGTAATTTGAAAGAGAGTACCAAGTGAGCTTCCGGAGACTTTAGTGATTTCGGAACCATCAGTTAAGGGTGAGAAGGGTTTCCGAACGACAGTTAGGTTGCGTCTCCTGAGACAGTAGTACGAGCAACCTAAACCTAGCAGTAGAAGCGACAAGAAGAGAATTCCGCAGAAGATTAACAAAATTTGGAAGGGTTTCAAGGCCGGTTCAAGGACCGGTGAAGGTGGTAGAACCTCTTTGCTGTAATTTTAAATTAATAAAAACTAAAAAAAAATATTTGACAGTACCTAAAATCGATCAAAGGGTCGGGTAAAGGTGCAACCGGTGGTGGGTACCGGCACACAATCGTAATAATTTCGTCTCCATCGATCTCCAAGCCTGGATGAAACCTCACGACTATGTTATTGGTAAAAACACGTTGAGGGTCCTTAAACCAAATGTGTTCTTTTTTTAGGGAAAAAAATTTGTGGTAAGACTTACTTGTTTGGTTCCACATCCCTTGAGTGGCAATTCGAGTTTGTAGCTGTAACCGCCTTTGCCATAGACCTGGCATGCCGAATTTCTGTCAAAATCCGCATAAGCAATCCCATAGAACTTATCGTTGAATTTGAGCTCGACTTGCATGGAACCTGCGGCGCAATTTAGAGCGGCTTTGGTTCTGTTTAGGAAAATTACAGGACTGAGATCGTCTAGTTTCGTGACTTTGCCATCTAAAGTGGCTTGATCGGGAAGGCCTTTGCCTTGATATTCGATATTGTTGGCTTGATCAGCATAGTTGGACTGTGATACCGCCGATTTGAAGAGGAACACTGCGAGGAGAAAGACTAGATATTGAGCCATCTGAAAAAAATAATAATTGTAATTAATGGAGAAAGGATCTTCACGTTTACGGTACGTGTAATAAATTAGCGAGCTTTCAGTCACGACTTTTTTCGTATTCAATTTCGGATCGTAATTTGCATTTACGGTTCTTCTTAGCACCCGCGTATTTAATAAAAATTTAAACATGTTTGAGGTTCCGGCTTTATTATCATAACGGACGAGATTTAAATTTTAAATTTACGAAAACAATGAAAAGTAGGTTTTATACACACTTGAGCAATTAAAACAGTAAATGAATGCAAACAGAAGGCTTGAATTGCATTTTTAGGTTACGAGGTTTCTAAGTGAAGAGGGACTTTTTTCAATTGACGGAAATGCATTCGCTGGAAAATTTATACGGTTCGGATACAGCAAAATGTTTGAAACCAAACATGTCGTAATTTTTAACTTTCAAAAATTAAATCGTTCCGTGCAAAAAATAATGAGGTATTTCATACGTCAATCACTTTACCAAATACAATATATGGCGAAATATGTAATTTGTGGTTGCGACTTTACAAATAAAAAGTATAAATGAGCTAACCTAAATAGTATTCTAACAATTTAATCGACAATTATTAGTAGAAAACACCGTTATCCCTTGGAAAAAAGAGTCTTGAATGCGACAATTTCACACTTCCTGCTAATTTTCTTATTACTTTATTTATTTATTTAATTATTTCTGATTTGACACAAAAGTTTTAGGTGTTTTAGATGATTTCGTAAAAAATTGACCTGCACCAGGACCTGACCTGACCTAACAATAGTTGCAGTTTGATTAGTATTGCTAGGTTTAGAATTAGTTTTAAAACTTTTCAATTTTGTATTAAAATGTTGGTGTTTACAAATAGGAATTTACGTATTTCATAGAAACTCTACCAAATGTATTTTTCTAGGTGTTGTGCAGCATGTTTGAGATCACGCATTATAGATATCAAAATAAATAATTTGGTGAGATATTTAAAATTTATTATCTACAGATTACTAGTACGTTTCTTATTTTTATGTTTTCGTTTTGCAAAGACCGTGAAAGAAAAAAAAAGTTCTAATACCTGGTGATTTTTTGAAAATGAAAAAAACTGTTTTCGCGCATTCTGTGTTGAAGCACGTTTTTGAGATGAAAACAAAGAAAATTCTAAACTGGCAAAAAAATTACAAAATTAAATTAAAGTTGATATTATTTCTGGCTTGTTTTGCTCGACTCACTTCGTTTATGAACCAGAGGCTCATTTATTTTGCAAAATCTTGTCCAAACACGCTTAAAGATCACAAAAACAATTGATATTCATGTTATTTTGTTTCACTCGATTTAACTGGTTTTTGAGTAAAATAAGACAAAAATAAACCGAGAATGTTTTTGTACTACAATTTCAGGTTTTTTAGGAGATTTTGCTAAAACCAACTAAAAAATCAACATATTAAGTCAAAAATTACATAAATTTTGCATTGCTTGAGAGTTTTAGCGCGTTCTTCTGCTAGAAATATAATTATTTAGCAAAATTGATTTAAAACTAAACCAAAAAAAAAAAACAGTAAATTAGACCAAAAATGATACACTTTTTTTCCTTTTTCGAAAGTTCCATCCAATTTTTAATGTTTTTTTGCGAGAGTTTGCTATAGCATGTCAAAAATCACTATATTGTTATAATATTTTTACCTAACTGTTAAGCTTTAACTTGATCATTTCGTCAAATTTTCTCGAAGACAAAATAATCACCAAATTGGTTAAAAATAGTTCTATTTGTTTTTTATCTATTAATGTCTTTTTCGAATGCTGTTACCGCTAGAAACACATAATTTTGCAAAATTTTGTTAAGCACAAGCCACAAATTCAACAAAATAGCCCAAAAACTGCGTTTTTTTGGCCTTTTTCGGTTGGTTAAGCATGTTTTTTAAAGATAAAAACACAAAAAGTTTGAAATATTGCGTTGAAACAGGCTACAAATTTAAAATTACTAACTAAATCGAAATTCATATCATTTTTTAGTTTGTTTCGCCCGACTTACTTCGTTTTTGAACCAGAGGTTCATTTATTTTGCGAAATCTTGTTTAAACACGCTTAAAAATCACAAAAATGATTGATATTAATGTTCTTTTCTTTGTATCACTCGATTTAACTGGTTTTTGAGTAAAATTAAGACAAAAATATTTTAAAAAACCACAAATTTTTGGCCAACAAGGCTTTCGAGCGGGTTTGTACCAGTTTTTATCACTAGATTTCGATAAAACAAACTAAAAAATAAAAAATTAAGTCTAGAATTAAGTACATTATTTTTGCATTTCTCGAGCAATTATTTTGTTGAAAAATCACAGAATTAACCCGAAATGCATGTCATTTTTGTTTTTCAAAGTTTAAGCGGATTTTTATAACTGAGATGAAAACAAAGAAAATTCTAAACAGGCAAAAAAATTACAAAATTAAATTAAAGTTGATATTATTTTTGGCACGTTTCGCTCTTACTTTTTTTTTTCGACTTACTTCGTTTTTGAACCAGAGGCTCATTTGTTTTGCAAAATTTTGTCCAAACTAGCTTAAAAACCACAAAAACAAAAATATCAATTTATGTTATTTTGTTTGTTTCACTGGACTCAACTGGTTTTTGAGTAAAATAAGATCAAAAATAAGCCGAGAATGTTTTTTGTACTACAATTTCACGTTTTTTACGAGATTTCGCTAAAACTAACTAAAAAATCAACATATTAAGTCGTAAATTACCTAAATTTTGCATTTCTTGAGAGATTTAGCACGTTTCTCAGCTAGAAACACAATTATTTCACAAAATTGGTTAAAAACTAAACCACAAAAAAAACAATGACCAAAATAGTTATTTATGTATAGAGTACGCAAAATAGGGTTTGAGGAAACGAATATAGTAATTAATGACGAGGCGACGTAGGAAAGTTCAGTTTTTTTCACTAAATTTTGCTAAAACAAACTAAAAAATCAAGAAATTAAATCTAGAATTAAGTACATTATCTTTGCATTTTTCGAACAATTATTTCGTGAAATTTTACAGAACTAACGCGAAATGCATTTTTGTTTTTCAAGGGTTTAAGTGGATTTTTATAACTGCGTTTTTTCGCAGGATATAAATATAAATCGTAATCTGATGAAAATTTGGCGAATTTTTCAACTCGGATCTGGAGAATTTTATGTTTGATTTGGCAACCCTGGAAACAATTTCTATTCGTATCGTAAGGTCACCAAATTTGCAAAAAAATCCATTTTTGAGTTCCGCAAACTTTTTTTAAATGCCTTCCATAAACGTTACATTACCATTACATTTTTTTTAGTCCTGAATCAATCATCAATTGTTTTCGTTATAAATAGTTTAGGCAAAAACCCTGCATTGCCAATTACAAGCAGTTTGAGTAATTTTTGGTTGCAAACTCGGCTTTGTTGACTTTTTTTTGATCGTCAAAGCTCCATTATCACTCGTCACATTTTTCCTTAATCTTCCTTTCCAATTTATTGAATTTTCTCGTACAATGCACCGCTCGCAGCAACATCAAAACTTTTCTCTCTTCTCGAAACGTCTCGTCTGGTGAAAATTGAAATGCCGCCACCAATTAATTGCAAAACGGCCGAGTCCGGTGTCAAAAGCGACTTTATAACCACATGCAAATCCACTCTTATTCATATCACCGGTAATATTAATGTACCATTTTTGTTCAAGTAGTTCGTGCGGGAATCTTATCGTTTGTGCAATAAATCTTCGGTTACCGGTCTTATCTCTTCTTCTCTTAGTTTATGACTTCGGAATTTGCACAAGTCGTTTACCTCGTCGAAAATTTTCGAAAAATTTATTTCGTCGGCGTTGCCATCTCAAAGACATTAAGAACTCGTCGAGCAACTAAATCCGATTTGCAATTATGTGGGCGGCGACGACCTCAACGCGTCATTGCTTTAGAAAATAAGTAAATAACTCACTTAGTTATATCGTTACCGATAAAAAAAATACAAAGTTATTGCGAGGTTTTGACAATGGGGTGGCGACACCTGTTGAGCTTTAATTGGTCAAGAGAGATTCAATCTACCAATGAGGTGCTGTTTCAACGATTCTTACATATTTATAATTTGAGAGCACAACATCATAACTTACTTCCTGAGAGTGCTATCCGCTTAATAACAATTTTAACTAAAAAAAAATGTCTATACATTATTTCAAGTAGTATTTGAGTACTGAAACTACTTGTCCTCATTTTTTTGTGATTCAAAAAACAAAAAGAAACTCACACAGAGTGTCTTACATGAGATTTTCTACGTTGATAGATATACAGGCTATTCCAGCAAGTTGAAAAAGACCATTAGTAACCCTTAAATGTAAAATTAAAAAAATATTTAGGACATTGATAGATACTAATCTAATCTATCGCCTATTTTTTTTTCAACTATACAGCGTGTTTCAAAAATAAGTTACAATACAAACTTGTGTTTTTTTAAATGAAACACCATTTGTTTCTTAGGGTTTTTGGATGTAGATTTGTATGACAATGTTTTTTAGCTAAACTTTTATTGGTCTATTTTACTTAGTTTTAAAATTAAAAATAAGACGGTTTTTTGACGAAAACATGCACTTTTTAAAAAGTTATTATACAAAAACTAAGACATCTAGAAATATTTTTTTTACTACCGCTAAGAAGAAGGTACAAGCTATAAGGTTGTAACGTTTTTTTAGTCTGTTGCATTTGCAAAGATAAAAAAATGAAGGCGTTTGTTAAAAGTTCAATAATTTAAAAAATTTAAATGGAACACCCTATATATTGTTTTTGCATTTTAAAAGATTATTAAAATTTCTTTCTAAAATTATTTATTTTTAGGTTTATAATCAATAACTAAAAAGATGTTTAACGTTAAACATAAAAAAATAATAATTACTATAATTTCAGTAGCCAAAAAGTACACAGTTGCATAAAAGATGAAATATCACTTAATAATCACATTTGTGTTAAACTGAATCCGTTATTCTTTATTTTTACAATAAAATAATTCGAATTTCAGTATTTATAACGACTTTTACAATCTCTGGATAAATTACTATGGTGGAATTACTATGGTTGACATTCATTTTTTGACATTTGACATTATGTCTATTTAATGATACTGATGATCCTGTATATTTTTTTACAATTATTTAATAAAGGTACAAAAATTTTGCTAATAAAAGCCACAAATAACTTTGAACAGACTTACAATTTAAAATACAGCTTCCTTGTTTCCTCTTTTAATAGCCTATAGCAAAAAAACTTGGAAAATTATTTTTCCAAGAGAAATAAATAGAGTCAAAGTGCAAACTTTAAACACTCATAACTTCGAAATTTTTATAGATAATTTTTTTTCCCATGTTCCTGGTATCTTACCTTATATGGCATTTTTCTCTGGGGCGCGAGTTCTGGCGCACCCTGTATTACATATTTTTAGTTCTAAGGTGTCAAAGTACAAGCTATTAAAGGGACTGTCAAAATAGCCCCGAAGTCGGAATTGACACCAAATTTTCTATTTTTTTTTTTTTGGAAAAACTATGACCTTGAGACAAAATTTTGTTTGTTTGTTAAAGCAGAAGGATGAATTGTTCTGATGCTAATTTTTTCAAGGAAATATTGCAATAAATAAAAAGGTTACACTAACAAAACCCTCAAACTATGTCAAAGTAATTCCGATTTACGGTATTTAAAAAAACGCATTTTGCATAATTTTTTTTTTTAATTTTACAAATTCACCAAAAAATGCGTGTTTGTGTTAATTTTTATTTATGTGATGAAAATGTTGAGGTTTTGTCGTAGCCAGTCGACCGCCAACGCAGCTAACTGTATCAAAATCGGTTAAAAAGCGCATCCAGTACCAACTTTAAAATTACAGAACCGTATTATGCGGATTGTGGTCTCTGAGATCATCTCGTACAAACCACAACCTACATCCAGTACCATTTGTACCCGGAAACCATCAACCGTTCACGATCTCGCCGCGAAACCATTTTTACATCTCTTCCGAGTAGAATTTGCATTTTATATTTAACACAAGTGTCATACAATTTGCATATTACATTGTATAAAAAATGATAAATATCGCAACTAGTCAAGGATAACGAGATGAATTTTTCAAATTCCGGAAGAGTAAAAAAATTAGTTCATTTGTTTGCGTCTGAAGTAATTAAAAAAAAGTACAAGAGTAATTAATTTCGGAGCGTCACTGGGAATTACCGATTTGTTATCTCGAGGAAGGTTTCAGTTGAGCAATGGCAAGACGGGTAATAACACGAATTGTGGGTTTGTTGTTGTATTTTGTGGCTCAAAGTGAGGAAAAATGCATAGTTGTAGAGAAAAATAGTCTGTGTGATTGCTTACAAGACTTGTACAGTAATGTTACTTTACAAGACAGGGTAATAGTTAATGGAAATTGCGGCCTTGAACCATTCATAGTCTTACCAAATGAAAGAGTAAAGGATATCAAGTTTCTAACGATAAATCGAGCTATAAATAACTTAACCAATCATGAGTTTAAAAATTTTATTCACTTGGAACAACTCAGTTTATATTACAATGAATTAGAGGCAATACATGTGGGATTATTTCAAAACCAAAATTTGGTATGGTTACAAATTAAGCACTCTGGTGTCAAAACTATCGAAAATGAAGCTTTCGCCCACTTGCCAAAATTGAACAAACTACGAATCACGCAAACTAAATTGACCAAAATAACCAAAAATGTCTTTAATAATTTGCCAATTGAGACACTTTCTTTGTCCCAAAACCAGATTACAACAATCGAAAAATTCGCTTTTGCCAACATGACAAATTTGAAAAAACTATTCTTGGATGGTAACAACCTAACAGTATTTAACGTCCCGGATTACTTGACACAACCGGAAACACTGGAGCGACTGTGGTTACACCAAAACCAAATTTCTGAAGTAACGAATTACATGCTTGAAGGTTTAACAAATTTGAAAATTTTAAACTTGGGCTTTAATTCGATTTCGAGGATTGAACCAAAGACATTTGAGCAAACCCCCAAATTAGAAACTTTAGTTTTGACAAATAATCAACTGACAGTCATGGATGGAGCAATGTTGCCAACGACAGGGTTACAAAACTTGAAAATTTTGTACATGGATCATAACCGATTGATGTTTTTGTCGTCGAATTTCTTGTTTCGTTTGAATTCGTTGAAGTTGATGTCGATTGGAGGGAATCCGTGGCAATGTCCGTGTCTGGATTTGGTGTTAAGGTGGTTGCATGACAACGATGTGAGGTTAAAATGTGATAAGGATTTTTTTGGAGGGAAAAGACCGGTTTGTGTGGTGCCTTTGAGGAGGAATAGTGACGTTTGTGTGTATTCTTATGACGAAAAGAGTTACGATTTGTTTGAAACTGCATACAATATGTATCCTCCCGTAGATTATTGTGTACTTTAGTAGTTTCGTCACAATAAAACAGATAAATTGTGTAGTATTTATTTATTTCTTCTATAAAAAAATCGAAAGTACTTAAACCATTTTTAGAAAAATTAAATTTTTATACAGCTGTGTGTAAAAAGATCGCACAATTATTTATAGTGCATTATTTAATTAGGAATTAATTTGATTTTTAACCTTCGTGTTTCTGAAAATATTTTTTATCTTGTTTGGCTGCGAAATGATAAAAAATTAAAGTCACTAAATTATCGCCAGATAGCAACTTAGTTGAGCAATGACGTCGAATATAACAAGGTGTAATTTGTTTTTTCTATTATTTGTTTATTTCGTTTACAAAAGTGATCAAAAATGTGACTTTTCGCCCAACTTAAGGCTGTCCGGGAGTGAACGGGCAAGTCGGTTTTCAGCAGTTATTATTCTTTTTCAAAAGCAACCAGCAATACACCCTAGACAGGGTCTAAACTTAGTCTTTACCTGCGTTCAGGGGTTGGGTTAGTAAGGGTAATAAATTGCAATAAAAGTAAAAGATCAGTTCGCTAATATTTTTATGCCTTGAATTTGTGGAAGTTGCTCCAGAAATTTCTTGGAAAGCTAATAAATATTGTTTTGACTTTTGGATCTTAAAAAAAATCTAATCATAATTATTCTATCTACCTCATAGATTGTACATATTTACTAATTAGAAAGCTCACAGGTTCCACTTTCAATGGAAATTAAATTTTTGTATGGGGTAACAAGACATACATATAATTCCATAAATTAAAATTTTTACAAATTTTTAAATTATCTTACAAAAACCACAATTGATTATTTGAAAAATGACTGAGTAAAGTTGTTTTCAAGTTCACCATTTATGCATTTTTGTTCTTTTTTTAAAAGAATTGTTTTTTTTTTAATCTCAACGTATCGGCCTATAGATTTAAAAAACCTTTATTTTGATGTATAATACATAAAATTCTGTTGCATATTAAGAGAGTAATCTTGTTTTCAATATACTAACGTCTCGAATCGTTGGTCGCGGACACCCTTAATCACTTGCAACAGTGTCCAAGATTTGTACTAAAATCTGGGTTTTCGTAGCGAGGTCAGGATCAATGGTTTTACCAACAAGAGTAACATGTAACCATTTCCGTTAGTAACAACCAAACATATAAAAAGCATTAAAACATTACAAATAAATCAAGCCACAAACAACATATCCGAAAATGCGTTTCAGCATTTTCGAATGCTGAAATTTTTAAGTTTTTATAATAACTCTTTGAATAAATGCTCAGAATGCTCAGAAAATTTAAAGTTAATTAAAATAACGTTCTTTCAATGCGAGATAAAAACTATATTTCCTGGTGCATTTTCGATAGTACTCAGTTTGGCCCGAAATCAACTAACAAGAGTAACAATTTTTTTGCTAAAAGGATTCTCGAATTTAAAATGTATGAAAACTATATAAAATTCATTGAACCGCTTTCGAGCAAACTGCAAGACTCCATCAGTTATTGTATTTACAAGATAATTTATTGAAATATATTGATTGAACCGTTCTACCAAAAGGAGGATTGTAAAATGTGGGTGTGATGTTTCTAACTTCCAATTTTCTATTCCTAATTAGTGAAAAAACAAAACTTACAATCGGTGGAAACACAGCCAAAGTGTTCCTGCTTAAATTGTATTCTAGAATGGATGTTAGCAGAAATATCAGATTATCAGCGTGCACCTCTCCAGGAGAGGTGTGTGTAGGGGAGGCCAGAACAAAGTGTGATTATTCATATCACGAAGAACATTTGAAATTGTATCAGTCATCAATTACTACCTACCCTAAAAAGCCTTGTATGTATTATTGAACACAATAAAAGTAATAAACAAAGGTTTTATTTACTTTTTCTTAAAAATCACCACTTCAGTTTTAACGTTGTCAAATTATTATCCATTTACACTAACAATCCAACATCCTTTTCGTTTTCTTATCTCATAATTAGCAGTTAATTAATTAAAACCGGTTAACAAAATTTTATCTGCGTTACTTAAGTAACAGTAAATATTTTTGTACACTAGACAACTTTCAAGATTTTTTAATAGTTGGGTGAATTTTTTTATATTTAAATCCTTGTTTTTCCACTTTCTGCTTTGTATTTTTTTCCACCATATTGTGAATAAATTGGTTTCAAGTTAAGTGAAATCGAAAGCGACTAGGTTCGCCTTATAGCGAGTCCGAATTGAGGCCAACCATCTTGTTCGAGTAATAACAACTTTCATTTTCTCATAAAGTCTCTCTTATGCTGGTTAATACACGAGCGAATTTTGCATAATATGTACCAATGACGTATTTAGGCTATGATATAACATACGTGTGTTATGAAATATCGATACAAAAGAAACCAACTTATTATTTTCTGTGCTTGAAGCTTTAAAAATTAATTAGGACGTAATGTTTATTTAGAGAGAAGCTCGCTATCATCTCGCAATTTGTCTCGTTTGTTAAACGCAAACACGCACATTTGCCACAAAAGCTCCCTCATAAAGCACGACGAGTCGTGCAATTTTCCCGTGGAAAAAACAAGTACACGACAAGTTAAACGTCGCGTTTAACGTAATTAATCTCGATTAAATAACGAAACTCGTACTGCCGAAAGCGAAACGTCTCCGAGAACAAAGACGATAATAAAAGCTTCAACGGAGAGATCGTTTTTCAAGCAATTCGCAGCGATGCCAAACATCGACCATGTAATCTGGCATAATCGGAGACATGTGCGATGGGGGACCCCCTAAGAGTCAACGCGCAAAACATACAACAGTAAAAATTTCTAATTAAAAAAAAAAGTTTTACGCGGCTTTTGTTATTACTTTTTTATTATAAAAATTCTGTAAAACATGACAGTTTAGAATTAGGAAAAATAATGACAGATTTTTTGTAAATTCAAAGTTTTTATTTATTTTGTTTATCTCTGCTTCGCTGAGGATTTATAATATTTTTCCTCTCTGTAAAAGTGCCAATTGGTTTGTAATTATTGACTATCTGTAAACGTAAAAATTAAATATTCTGTAAATCTGCTTTCAAATGAGTTAAATACAGGGTGGCCTAATGAAAACGAGCCACCCCGAATATCCCAGAAATTAAAAGACTTTTGCAAAAACGCCGAAACAGGTCAATATTGTTTAAAAGCTTTTTTCCAAAATGATTAAATGATTTCTATACATTCATAAAATATCAGCAAAAAAAAAATCTTTCTGTAGTCAGTATGTACAAAGGAACTTAAAAACTATTGCTATTTTTAGGTAGATCACCCAATAAAAAAAACAAAAATAAGTTTGTCACAGCTCCAGTAATAAATATTATAATATTAGTTTCTTCTAATTTATTTTAATAGTTTGTTAGAAACATTACTTTCTGCGTACATCTCATAAATGATTAATCCCATTCAATTTTAGAAAAAAGATTCAAAGAACATTTTGAGTGATTCGGTGTCCTTTGAGACTACGGAATTGAGGTGGAGGAAGTTAAAGTGTTAATGGGGGTGCTTTTAAAATTGCGTCAAAAAATGTCATTTTAAAAACAAAATTAACCTGTTTTAGGGTTTTTTCTAGAACATCCTGTATCTCTGATTCAATTTTTATAAAAAATCGTGAAAAGCTTGTTAAAATAGCTTTCATTTGAAGTGCTACAAGTGGGGTAGTGCCATTTAAATTTTTAAAGTTGGGGTGCATGGAGGTTAGGGGGTTACTGGGAGTGCTTTAAAAATTACGTCAAAAAATATCCTTTTCGGAAACAAAATTGACCTGTTTCGGCGTTTTTGCAAAACCTTTTTAGTTTCTGAGATATTCGGGGTGGTTCGTTTACATTGGGCCATCCTGTATGTCAAGTTTTTATTCTCACCAGTTTTTAAATTAACAGAATAATTTTGTTGAAACCATGAACTCCCTTCCTTGCATTTTATTTTATGCAAAGCCTCCCAACACGCCTTTAAGTCGTCGCTATTATCAGCATTATCTCCCTCTTATCACTCGGATCATCACCTAAATGTGAAATTCAAAGCTTCAGCATAGTCAAATATGTAATCCCCGAAGAAAGGGAGCAATTTCATTCCGACTTACGTGTCAATAAATGACACTAAACCGCTTATCCTTAGGGAAATCTCCTGGCGGCGACTTGAAAACTTTCCCGAGAAGAAACCCTCCTCCATTCATAGATACCAATCTAACAGATAAAAAAAATTCAACAACAAATTGTTACGTAACAGTACTGGCATCTTGCCGGGCTCTATATTTATTTTCTCCGAGTAACTGTTTATCTTTTTTTTGAACGGCATATATGAAATAAGTGCTTGTAATTGGTCGAGTACCTACTTAATTAATTACTTTATGTTTAATCAGCGCCCGAAGCTGTCACGAGAAGATAAGAAACCGAGGAAGCTATTCTTTGAACGGAGAAGATTTCTTGCAATTGTAAAAGTTAGAAATGGGAATTATGAAAGCTGGTGAGATGTTGTTTTATTTGAAAGATAAGTTGAATTAAGCGTTTAATCGCGATGTTCATCGGGAGTTCATTAGGGAAGGAAAATTTGAAACAAATCTGAAATTAAATCTAGTATTTTTGCATTGTTTGCTAAATGTTTTAGAACGGAATGATTAACATTTACCAGACGCCATATTTACCCTTGAAATCCGCCATATTTGAACGGTAAACATTAAGAAATGCCTACAACGTATAAAGTTAGGTTTTAATTCTCTCAGATTTGCCATTAAGATAATCTAAAAACGTATTCTAAGTTAGTAACCATTAGTTTTTATTACAAAATATCACGTTTATAATTACAGACATCTGCAAATTATCCTGTGGTAGGTATTTCCGATTTTTACTAAACCCAACTTTTATTATTTGTTACAATCAGCAAGGACAATAGCGACACATTATTACTATTGTTATTACTCGCAAGACAAGGCTAGTTCAAGCCACATTTACAATCGAAAAACTGTCAAGCCCATTTTTTGGCAAAAAGCATGCCAAGGTCGTTCAGTCAGCCACAAACTCACCTTTTCAAATTAGCTCAATGGATTTAGTTCGAGTGTTGAAAATGTTGCATGTTTAACCTGAAAAATGAAAGAAAAACATTGATAAACAGTTCCATGTATTTGTCAAAAGTGATTCAGACTCGCAGGAAATTGTTTAAAAGTGAATTGGAGACGCACCTTAATGCTTAGAAATGAATCACGTTGAATATGGAATATGACACGAATGTTACAAGAGTGTGACAAAAATTTTATTGTTGTGGACGATTTTTGAATAACAAGAGGGTTTAAGCTTATCGGTAAGCCGTGTTGTAAAATTTTAGGTGGCGCTCCCGGACTTGCTCAATCACAATTTGTAATTATTTTAACAGAATTTCTTAAGATTTCTAACATTATACAGGGTTATTCATCATTCAAATATGAAGCAATATTTGAACCTCAAAAATGACATATAAAATGATGTTAATTTAAATAATAACTCGTGTCCTATCTCTACTGATAAGAATTTTACAGCCCTCGGAATGAGGGTATGGAAATTTGATTTTTTTGTAATAACTTTGAAACTATTTGACCAAATATTATAAAATTTGGAACATTTCCCTGTGACAACATACCCTTTGAACTCGTAATCACGAAAACCGGATACATCCACTCAATTTACGGTTACAGCAGTTGCAGGTCACATTTTCTGTGTTTTTCCATTTTTTTGCTCTCTTAACACCAATTTTTTATTGCCCAAATCGATAGAGTAATCAATTTCGATTAAAAAACGCATAACCTTTAATACCTCTAAAATGGACCGTTTCAAAGATATTTTAATTTAAACTGAGGACTGCACAACGCTGAAATCAAAAAATAGGGATTTTGAATAAGTGGTATCCACGGCAACCAATGACCATGGTCACATAAATCCCGCCAGGCATCTGTTAATTTTGACGATAAATTTTTGTGAATTTTTTATGAATTAAATGCTATTCTAAGTTATGTTTGGAATCTGAGGTAAACTCCTTTATTAAATATTTTCGATTAATTGTCTAATAATCGTCCAATGTCAAAGTTGACAGATGCCTGACAGCGATTAGTGAGACCATGGTCATTTGTTACCGTGGATATCATCCATTCAAAATCCCTACTTTTTGGTTTCAACGTTGTGCAGTCCTTAGTTTAAATTAAAATATCTTTGAAACGGTCCATTTTAGGGGTATTAAAGGTTATGCGTTTTTTAATCGAAATTGACTACTCTATCGATTTGGGCAGTAAAAAATTGGTGTTAAGAGAGCAAAAAAATGGAAAAACACAGAAAATGTGATCTGCAACTGCTGGAACCGGAAATTAAGTGGATGTATCCGGTTTTTGTGATTACCAGGTTAAAGGGTATGTTGTCACAAGGAAATGTTCCAAATTTTATAATATTTGGTCAAATAGTTCCAAAGTTATTACAAAAAAATCAAATTTCCATACCCATATTCCGAGGGCTGTCATATTCTTATCAGTAGAGATAGGACACGAGTTATTATTTAAATTAACATCATTTTATAGGTCATTTTTGAGGTTCAAATATTGCTTCATATTTATGAATAACCCTGTATAATTCACAAAACTTTGTAAAATGTGACAGTTATTTTTTAAAGTTTTTTTTCCTACGAAAAGTTCAGTATCTATAGATTTTTTTCTGTAAAATTCTGTCAATATTTTTATACTCTTTTTCATAAAAAGTAGGTTGTAGAATCCTAAATGTATTTTTAATTTAAAGGCAAATTCACACAAAAAGTGTCATTAATGTCATTCACAAAAAAAATTAATCACATTAATACTCGTAATGACAAAAATCTTTATGTTTTCCACCCTATGTAATTACGTTGTTAATTTTAATTATTTTTTGCTACCTCAAAAACTGGGGTACATATATTTATTTAATTAATAATTTTTATAAAAGATTGGGGTTGAGATCGTTTGAATTTTCGCATGGTTGCCACTTTAAAATGATCTCTTTCAATGACTACTTCGATGAAAGTTTTCCAAAAACTGATCACTGGTTGGTTTTGACATAATTAATTTTTTTTAGTATAGAAATTGCTAATTTCAATAAATTTCTGTTTAGCTGTAAAAATTGATGATTGATTTGACGATATTGGCAAAAGTTCTTTAAACCGATTTAGAATTTCAAGGTTTTTCTATTTTTTCGATTGTAACGCTTTGAAAATTCATAAAAGTCAAAATTTTGCTAACATCTCAACATGACAACATAACCATAATTTTTTAACAATTTCTGGGAACAAAAACAAAAAGTAAACAATTTGTGCTACGGAGATGAGCTGCTACCATTTTTTTCACCAAAATTTTGACTTAGTGATTTTTGTTAAAAAAAACAGGCTTTAAGTTCCTTTAATGCTTTAATGCCACTTTGTATTTATAATATTTGACATTTATTTTTTAGATAGTGACAGGTTTTCGTAAAGTTTAACAGGTTTTTTTATGATTCGGAGTGATTTTTAAATAATATTAAAGTTATTAAAATTTAAAAGTTGAGGTGAGCGCATCCGCTTAAGATTTGTTTAAATATTTTTTCTGTATTTTGGAAAATTTGTATAAAAATCGATACCTAATACTCATAGCCATCGCCTCACTGGCAATGTTGCAACAGCCGTTTTTTGAGGTGAAATAGGTCAAAAACATTTGGTTTTTGTCTAAAAGTAGAATCTGTGTTACAACTCAACTCTGCTGAGAAATTTTAAGCCAACAACCTCTTTCATACAGAAAAAAACATTGTGAAAAGTGAGTCACTTATACATAACTTAACTAACTGATCCTACTTTACACAGTTTTTTCAAAAAGAAAACCTGAAATAAACAGAAGCAAGAAGTTTGCGTTTATAAAAATGGAAAAACGTATTCGGATAAGGAGAAAATGTTATTTAATCTTTTTCTCTCAAATAAATTTTGACAAAATCTGATAGTGTGAGGTTTACAAATTTTGACAAAATCTGATAGTCTCCAATAGTCTCTCCCACTGTCTTTTGCAACACGATGTTTTAAACAAGTTTTGATTGACATTTTTTTAATTTAAGCATTTTTTTAAGAAATTTTTAAATGTTTTTTTACAAGTTAGAATTTTATTTTTTTAAGGCTGTATTTCTTGACATTTTCTTAGTCTCCCCAACTTTCTTTTGTAACACAATATTTTCAAAAGTTTCAATTTACATTTTTTAAATT